ACTTAGCTCTATCTAATGAGTTATAAATCACAAAATCGATAAATTTGACCAAAATTGACTTTTCTGAGGGGGGGGGGGGAGCCCTTAAGCTCACTAAATTTTTCTTTCAGTGCACATGATAGTAGATACAAAAAAATTACTGACAAGTTTATCTTTATCTTTCGTACTGAGTTTATAGAGAGATATTTCCAAGTCTCACTTGAGCAGCGACGACAACTGATAGAATACTTCACTCTTTACCTATAAATACCCAGAACATTTTTCTATGCTAGCAGCAGGTCGTTGCACCATGTCTCTATGGAAGTTGCTCTTGTGGCTTGAAAAACAGTTTTCTGTCTCTCCGGTACTTTGAAACGCGTGAAAGTTAACAGTTATTTGATTTTTTCATTTCGATTCACATCATTTCGACTCTTAATGAACGCCCCCTATGCATGTGATGAGAGTGGTGTCACATATCCTAAAATTTGCATAAGTGCTCACTTCTTCCACAGGAGACGTATCGTTGCATTTCGAGGTGCACATCCCCCACGCGAGATGTTGCATCCTGCATTGGAAACTTAGTGTCTCTCGGGAGAGAAGTGAGCACTTCTCCAAATTTAGGATATGTGACACTGCTGGAGACCCAAGCAGACAAAAAGTTTTGGAAACGCGTATAAACGCACAAGCAAAATAATGAAATCCCAAGAAAACTCGGCGTGTTTCGCTTACAATTGCGGTTTCCGACTATGAACGAAAAACACCTATGTTTTCACCCGTTTCTGTGCGTTTGAACGCGTTTCGAAAACTTTTGTCTGCTTGGGGAATGCACATCCATGCTCATCGTCGAATCAGATTAGAACTGAATTCAAACCTAAACGAGCCCCTTCTCACTTTCGATATGATCTAAAATAATGCCAGAAGTGTTGCTTGTTGCTTGGTTTTTTATGAAAGCATGTAATCATACAGTCATTTTCTCTAGTTGTTTTCCTCTGTGATAAGTACTTAAATTTAATCCTAAAATATTCTGTTAGCGGTATGAAATCGACAGTTCGTTTCCAATTTTCAAACTATTAGTAAAAAGCAATCGTTCTTGAATGATATAGCGTTATAACAAAGAGTGTAACACAGTAAACCTCTCCAAAACTGAATTGAAAATTTACAAAATATTTCACTTCTTGCTGGCAGACCTTTCTAAAACTCCGTTAATCATTGCATGTATGAAATGTAGCTTATTATGTTTTTTTAACCGAATGTATCCTTCACCAAAGCATCCTTTATTAATAGAGCAATATTTATACAAAGAGTCTTTTAGTTCGCCCTAGTATTTCCAAAATAGAGCACAATCTTAATCAGATTTTGACGAAACCCGAGAAAAATCCGGATACACTATTGAAATGAAACCAATTCTACATCACCTGACAACATTTTCGAAATAAAGTTATAAATGCCAAGTAACCGGAACTTCTTATGCGGTGCTATTTCCAGTGACTGCTGACCACGTAAAGCAGATAACAGAAAGATGTGTCACAGATGGCCTCTTTATTGTAGCATCCTCCAGACATGACAACGACTTGAATTGAATGGGAAACGTGCATTCGACAACTTGAAAACTTGATATTGTTTTTAAAAAGAATGCATCCAATAGAGTTATGCTACTAATAGTTTCAATGGTTCTTCTTTTCTTTGATTTTGATTAAACTGGTTTTCCTTCAAAGGACGCGCCTTTCACCTCTACACAAAGAGATACTCAGTACTCCACAAAACTGATCCATTCTGTATTTTTGAGCATCAAATAATCGTTTAGCATAGCTAATCAGACACGATGAAATTTTCTATTTTAATATGTTTACAAAGTATTTGCTTATGCATCAGGAAAATCGATTTTTGCGTGACGTAGTTCTAATTCACGTCCTAAGTCTGCACTTTTCGAAATCGTCACAATAGTGAGATTAAATCAAAGATTTCAATATCTAAATATCCACACAGATATTTCTTCAGATATTTTTGTTAATCTTCACTGCATTCAGTCAATTATTTTGTTCCTTTGTTCAATTAAATTTGCTCGCCTACTTGTATTATACGTAAAAAGTGTTTCATGAAAGAATATCAAATATGACTTGCTTTAGACTCACTTTTCCTTAAATTCTTGAAACTGCTGACTTTTCACAACATGACAATCATTAGCTTTGTTTGAATACCATATTTCACTCATAAGCCTCTATTATGCTTTTTCCAGGCTGAACCGTTTTGAGACACGTGAAAAGCTATTCGATTAATGAATTCGTCAGAATTCTTTCTTAAGAAAATATTAACCCTCAGTTTCATAAGATTTTGCCAATCGATCACAGTTTGTATATTCATTTTTTTCCTTATATACAAACTATGTTGCTTTGTGTTATCTGTGTTTTATAGGTAAGACAAATTTCAACAATTTCTAACTCTTCGTAGAGATTAGAAGGATATAAATTTAAATAGAAAGAGAAGTTGAACTGGGTTGAACCAGGAAGAAAAAAGTTGACAACATGGAAAGAGAGATACTTTCGGTTCAACCTAGCAGCTATTAAACGAGTCGTTGAATGCTTCACGGCTTGTGAATTTCATGCATGAAGAATTTAAATTGTCAAGACATTCAGAACAGTGATTCATTATACTAAATCTCTGTGAAAACAAAACAGTTTCATAGTTTAGGCAGACGACGTAATTCAAAATTAAATGATTAAATTAGTGGCGTACATAAATTTCGTAAACTCCGATAGGTTATATCTACAATAAAAATAAGTATGAGAAAATGACTAGCAATAAAATTTAATCAATAAAGAGAACTATTTCCTAGAAAACGGATGTGTTGTTGATATATACTAACTGTGAACTTCCTATCTTGAAATACTTCCTTCTAGGATGGTTATATACTGGCAATATGATCGTAGATCGGCAATTGCATGAGGCAGTATTACTCACAAATGGAAAAGTTTTGGTTGCTGGAGGATACCGGGGTAGTGGTGTTCTAAATATCACAGAAATATACGATCCAGCAACAGAACATTGGAGTGAGACAGGCAAAATGAGTGAAGGACGTGGCTTACACACGCTGTGCATGCTGACAAATGGGAAAGCTTTGGCTATTGGCGGTTTCGGTGATATTACCTTCGTGAACAATACAGAATTGTACGACCCATTCACAGCGGTTTGGACAAAAACTGGTAAGATGGTTACTCCACGGTTCCTTCACTCATCAATCTTACTAAATAACGGTCAAGTCTTAGTTGTTGGTGGATCGTCCACGACTGATTATTATGCTAGCTCGCTGAACAGTGCAGAACTGTACAATCCATCAACGGGAGTGTGGATAAACACTGGCAGCATAAGTATTGGACGAGCCAGGCCACCAATATCAATGTTGGCCAATGGAAAAGTCTTAATTACTGGTGGATTCCTTGCGGGATCCGATCGTAGATATTTAAATAGTGCAGAAGTATACGATCCATCAACAGGGGTATGGACGAAGACTGGCAATATGAGCGTTTTACGAGGCTCACATACAGCAACAATGTTAACGAATGGGAAAATTTTAGTTGCTGGTGGATACAATTTCAATGGCTTCTTAAGTAGTGCAGAACTATACGATCCCACAACGGGAGTTTGGACACTGACTGGTAGCTTGAGTGCAACACGAGGATTTCACAGAGCATGCATGTTAGCGAATGGTAAAGTTCTTGTTGTGGCAGGTGCCAATGAAAATGGTATGGTTGGTAGTGCTGAACTGTACGATCCATTGACAGGACTTTGGACAAAAGCTGGAAATATGAGCACAGCACGATACGACCACACAGCGACAACGCTACTAAATGGAAAGGTCTTAGTTGCTGGTGGATACAATGATTATCAATATTACTTGAGTAGTGCAGAATTATATGCATGAACATTGTTTGAATGATGTATTTTACACTAAACTCAACTTGAGCTTTCTTTAATGTTCTAAGTAGTTAGCAAAGCTTCACGTTCTTCAACATTACTTTTACTAAAAGAGTGAAAGTGTGTGTAGTTACTGGATTTTCGAAAACTTTCGATTTTCCTCAACAATTGTGGCTGTGAGTGAGTGAGTGAGAAAGTTGTAAATAGAGCGCTGCGACTGCATGGCTATCCGGTTGTTTCGATTTCTGATAGGTACATCCAGCTAGTCTTGTCAATGGAACAAATAGAGTGCTTGCAAACAGATACACTCGACCTAATGTCGAAAGGTAACATTTAGGTATGATGCATCAAATAAATATTATGGAATGAATATTGAATATAATTATGAGCAATCAGGTTTCCTTCAATTTCACAGAGACTATGAACATAAATATTTGTGCTCGTCACTTTTTGTTCATCGTTTGATTTCTATTTTTAGCTCATTCAGTTTAGATAAGACGTTCGTTTTTCTTGTTTAGCTTTGATATGTAATGAATGTCATTTCTCTGTTAATCGTAATACTCCGGGCAATATTTTTGCTACTTAGATTCGTTCAGTGACGGAACCATGCTTTTCGAGAGGGAGCGGTGGTTTCTAAATTATGTAGACCAAGGTAGTATGAATTTTTCCGGAGGCACATTGAGTTTTACTCTCACATTCTTGCCATTATTTATTTCATTTTTGTATAGGAAACATCTATAATTCCATAAAAAATCAACTATTATGGCGATGAACTTCAATATAAAAACTAAAAAAGAAAGTCGATGATTAGATTTATCAAATTCATCAGTAACAGCGTCAACATCCACATCTAAATCTTGATAGGTATACATAATAAGAGTGCAGTTGGCTGTGGGTGTGGGTGTGGGTGAAGAGAAGACTGACACACGCAGCCACACCCCCATGTCCGCCAGGTGAAGTGAAAAGTCCGTGGAGAAATAGGATAACGAGGTAAAATATAAAAGTGTTAGGAAAATTCGGTTTGTTTTGGTTAGTTAGTTAAGTCCGTCTGTTGACTAGTGGACTTTAGGTAAAGTGGACATTTTCGGAATATTTGCCAGTCCTCGCAAGGGCCGAAGAAAAAGATTTAGAAAATGTCGAAAATTTCAAGATCTTGTCAGAAAACAAAGTTGACACCTTTCTTTCTTATTTTGTCCATTAAAGCACCATTGAATAGAAAATACTCTTCTCCAACACATCATTGTACGAATGAAAATTGCAGAACAGCGAAAATATAAAAACCGTATTTGTACAAAGAACATAGTCGCGGGCTTGTTTTATGCCCGTCTAACTATATTGCTTCATTTAAGGTATTGAAACATATTTTTTCACTTTTATCACGTGATTCTTTGATTGTGTGATATCCATCACTACAAGTGCTATATATTTTCTTGCTTTCAACAAAAAGTTAACGTCTACTGCTGTCAGCTAGTATCATTTACAAAACTAACAAACGAATCTCCTTCAAAATATATTAAATTTGTAAAAACAACAACTGTACAGCACATGTGACTGTGGATGTGGCTGTGTGACTACAACCACACCCACACTCACACCTACCCACGCCCATCTTTCCGATAGTTTTTGGGGTGGGTGGGTGTGGGGGTGGGGGTGTGGGTGGGTGTCGGCGGGTTGGGTGTGGGGTGGGGTGTGCGTGTGGGTGGGTGGGTGTGTGGGTGTGGGCGTAAGTGTGGGTGTGGGCGTGGGTGTGGGTGTGCGTGTCGTTGTTGCTCTCTATATGGACACATCACACCAACCCACACCCACACCACACCCACCCATACACACACCTTAAAATCGATTATCAGGTAAAAATCAATGAATCGATAAGAATAGATTAAAATTGATTAACAGGTAGGAATAGATTGAAATAGATCAACAGGTAAGTGAAGATTATAGACGATTGGCAGTACTCATGTAAGAAAAATCAGATTTTAATCGATATTTTTTCATTAAAATTCAATTATAATGGCACTATTATAATCCGAGTATAATCTGATTTCTAATCAAAACAATAATTATAACTAATTTTAAGAGCTTTGATCAATTATAATCATTACTTTGGTTAGAAATCGGATTATAGTGGTGCCATTATAGTTGATTTTTAATGAAAAAATAATCCATTAAAAAATGATTTTTTCTTATTTTGTTTTACATGGATACCTCTTTATTCCAACGTTGGTTTGCTTCAATTATAATTTTGTTATAATGTTTAAATGGCTCTCCGTGAATGACTATTCTGACTGTGCTATTTGGTTTCTGTTTGTTCATGATTCCGTGTTTTTATGGATAGAAGAATGATATTCTTTGGAAATTCTTTGATAAATAAAATGACTGAAATTAATCGAAAGTAACATAACTCGAACTATAGAAGTTTCGAATGATAGTTTCAATTAATTTCAATCACACTTCTTTATTGTTGAATAAAGACAAACAGTGTTTTATTTGTTCTGCTTTTGTACACTCCACATTGGATTTATGGAAAATGAGATATGATCACTATCGATTTTGACCTTGCTCAAGAGTTTTGTTAGATGGCATTCTGATGTAGCAATTATATGTGTATATTTCTGAAGACTTAAGGAATACAAACTCGTCAACTGAATTCTCTAATTCTCGGACAAATTATTATATACTCATAGAGAATATGTTTTTTTTTAATACAAAATACTAAACAGAAAGGATCACTAGATAAAAACAATAAGAAGTAAACTACTCGTATTTGCCATGAAAATGTATTGTCTTAACCCTAACTACATTGTAGCTACACGTGAAATTAACAAACGTCACACAATTTGTGCATCTTGCTCATTCTCAATTTGTCTATCGTCCAATACGAACAAGTTGAAAGAGAAGTAAAAACGTATTTGTTTTTATTAAAACAATTCATAGAACCAAGAACAACATTTGAAAGATTTTTCATCTTCAATGTTAACATACTTTCTCCGTGGGCATTTTCAATCAGCATTACTTTCATCTGCTATTCATGGGCTTAGTATATCTATAAAAGCTTCAACACAAATATATTCATCTGTTAAATAAGATATCTTTGTAACATAATGTAATTTTAACGAATCATGTTCGTCTATAAATTATCTTCTATTCCTTTCGTACTGATTTATGACAATGGAATTGTTTTCCAACATCAGTTCTGGTTACATGTTTATTCACCGTATAATCAGACATTCTTTTTAGTTTAATAAAGCAAAAAAGACGAAAAACTTCATAGTTTTTTAGATATATAAAAATATACAAACAATCACAATAACCATTTCGAAGATTTATCTTTCACATCCAATGCTCTTGTTAATGAACTTTATGTGTTTCCTAGCTGTTGTTTTTCCTCATATAACAGAAGACACATATTGATCTTGACTATTTTTCTTTAGAAATGTCTGACAATATACAAAATTTCTCTGAGGATTGGGATATAAAATGAAGTAGAATTCATAAATCATTCGAAGAATAAAAGAACGACTTCATTTTCATCATATGTCGGGTAACTCTTATACTGTAAACACAAAGAAAGAAAGTACTTAAATGAGACTGAGGCTCCTAGAAGAAACACGAATTTTACAATATTCCAAGAGTCGGATTACACGATTACTAAAGAACATATGAGAATTAGTTTGTCTGAAAGTTTTCAGATTAATCTACCAAAACAGTCAGAATATCTACGAAAGTCACTTTTGATCTGTTGTCCTATGCGTAACATCTAGATAGAACAGGAATTTTTTTCAATACTTGTCGGGAAACAATATTGAGCTCAAATTCATGATTTAAGAGATCTTGATAAGCACTATAAATCTACCTGACTTTCTTTTTTATTTTGTCTACTCTTTCCATTTCATCCTCAAGAATATGATCCAGATAGATACGATGAATGACTGACTCTTTTCAACTCTGTTTCCATTTCTCTTAGCCAATGTTCACTACTATAATTGTAAGCAGTTTTAGGAAACAAAACATTCGATGCCAATAATCATCTCTTCGTCTTCACCGTCAACCAGCTCCGAACTCAGATACAGTTTTTGTAGAGAAACTTACGCGAATTATTAGGAACCTTGGATGAATTCAAAGCGCTCAATTGCTGTAGAGAATGCGGGATACAATGAATTGTCACAAATTTTCGAATAAAGAAGCGCTTAATTCAGTTAATAAAACAGATCTCCTCATATAGTTGAGGGAACATAGATTTGCTGTCAAATTGAAGTGCTTTTTCCAACCCAGTATACAACACTAAAAACCTATATTTGCTGCCAGTTGTAATATTCAATGATTTACATGGAAGGCTATTCCAATTCTAATTAAAATTTTGTTTAATCTAGACACTTTTTTCGTCATTAATGCGCATAATTATTTTCATTGACGTTCTCTTTTATACATGCTCTTTTTTTCCATGTTATGAATAACCTTTTTTTGCTCGTTCCTTGAATTTCTTTCTTACTTTTTCACTGAATTTTCTCTCTCGCTCTCTCTCTCTCTTCAAACGTCACATCATCAATTTCTTTTTCTTATCCGTAGTTTCTTTTTTTTTTAATCATCTAATTGTATTGTATATAAGTCGTTCTTCTAACGCTGTCTTTCATCTTTCCTTCATGTTCTAAGAAGATTACTAAAGAAATTAGCTAAACACAGAATCTAATCGACAATCGTCGCCTTTCAAAATGTCATTTCATTTTTGTGAAATCCTCATAGTAAGATAATTAAAAAAACAATTGAGCATATAAAATATATATCTTAGCTGATTTTTTTCTGTTCATTGAACTCACTCAAATGTCATCGTCGTCAGCATCGTCACAAATCATTCTTGACATTGCTCATGTATATATTGTATATGCATTTACGACTGTACTAATTATTGGACTTGTCGGAAATCTTTGTAATATTGTCATTTTTATCTGTGTAAAACAATTTCGAAAATGCTCGGGGGCATTCTATATTATTGCTGAATCTGTTGCTGATGAGACTGTATTATTAGTGGGCCTAGTACCGCGCATTGTCGTGGAGATATTTGGCTTCGATCCAGCCCGCATTTTACTCATCTGGTGTAAACTACGAATTCCATTTAGTCAATGGGGTACACTGTTGAGCTTATCTGCAGTGAATTTTGCGACTTTTGATCAATATCTTTCCACCAGTTGTGATTCTCGCTTGAGAGAACTGAGTACGACTAAGTTAGCCAAATATTTTATCGGTATCGCTTCGATCATCTGGTTTCTCTACAACATCCCATTTTTCATATTGTATGATATACAAATATCCTTTGGTTGTCTTTTGAAAAGTGTTGAATTATCACGTTATTACTCGTATTTTCATTTATTGGTTCTTTATGGTCTCTTACCTGTTTTTCTCACAACAACATTTAGCATACTAGCTTATCGAAATGTCCGTCAAATTCGTCGATTACAGATGACCAATATTCGTCGACGACTCGATCGTCAATTGACAGCAATGATTCTTGCTCGTGTCGCATTTTTGGTTCTTTGTCTTATACCATTCATTATTCAACGTTTTTATGTGGCCAATGTGCAGACCAATCCCAAGAATGACTTTCGAATAGCAATCGAACAATTGGTCGGAGCAATCAATCTCTCGCTCAGTTATCTCAATGTTTCCGTATGTCTATTTCTTTGTTAATCTTTCATCCAATTGATAAAAATGAATTTCTAGGGATCATTCTATGTATTTTTGTTGGCATCAGCACGGTTTCGTCGGCAAGTGAAATATGTGTTAATGAAAAAGATGTGGCGACGTTTTCGAACACTAATCATTTGCCATAAGCCATGTTCTAACAATCGAGTAGTACCGGCGTCGAATATCGATGACAATTGTTTCGATGATTGAACACCAACCAGTTGATGATATAAATTGAAGACATTGCATGTTAAAGAAATTCAATTAGACAAAATGAATTATTATGTCACTGAAGAAAAAAGTAGATGAAATATATTTTTATACTTCTTAGTTGAATAACCAATGTCTCAATTTGATACTCACGAGTCTATTCAACTTTTCTAATTTAAAAACTATTCAAACAATTTGAAACTAATATATTTGTGATCAACAAAACAAACTCTATCTAAAGATGTAGAAAATGAAACCAAATTTGTGTCCACGCGAGTTTTGTATTATTGACACTTGAGCCAACTGACAAAGTGATCGGATTGGTTTTCCGTTCATGCAACTTGATCAACTATAACTTTTAAATATTAGAAGTGTGATAAGAAGTTGTGTTAATATACCGATAGAACGCATGTAAGAATCAATTCAAATAAGTTCATGCACATGAGTTTGTTGAATGAACATATGTTGACTTGTCATGAAGTGTCATCATCACTAATTAAAAACTTTGGTTATTATTACATGGTTATTCGAGTCGTCAAAGCTTGTTTGAAGAAATGTCCAATCATTCGATCGATTTTTGTTGTGTGTTTCATTTGATAGTGATGATTGATCTTTCTGCTTGAGATAGTCATGGAAACAGTTGCCTTTCTGTTCGTTTGTTTGAGCAACATATTCATTACAAAATTTAGTTTCCTTTTCTTCAATATGGCCAATGCGTTCTTGAATAATTGACTGTATTCAAATCACATCAAATTCTCAATACTTAAAAATTCGAATGTTTTCTCGATGAGCAAGTCAATATTCGATCTCATCCCCATAATCAATATTAATCAATGTTTTTTGTAACATATGATTGAGTTCAGCATCGAGCAACTCAATATTTTGCACTCAATCTTTTATGAAGATCATTTTTTAAGATGATAAGCGAATTCGCTTAAAGTCTCAGTCAGATTGATTGTCCTAGGATTTAAAAATAGATTTCTAGTCGTAGAAAGTTGTAAGACAACTCCCTCACATTTGTCATTCAAGCACAAATGTGGCTTTTTCAATGGTTTTCTAAGAGTACGTCAAACTCGAATAGAGTTTTTTCGTCGACTTGGCAGCTGTTAATAACTAGAAAAGCAATTCAGATATTATTTTACCTGCGTTCTCTCGATTAGATGTACTTTTCTCATGCATGAGCATTTACTTAAATTCTGATAATTATTTAGACCCATAGTTGCACAATCTGAGAGTCACATGAGGAACAGTTTCTCTGTGATTAAGTAACGTGTTTTGAAGTAATTCAAAAACACTTGTAATTTTGTCTAGAAACGTTTAATTGAAAGAAGACATATCCGGACGTTGTTTTTTCCAATATTCTATAAGATGAAATCATTTTAAAATCAACCATTTTTATATAACATCGAAAAAATGCACAAAAATTATCTGCTGTTGAGATGAAATTTTGGCAAAAAAGTAATGATATCTTAAACTATAGATCAGAAGACCCCTAATCTAATCACATATCAATACCGAAATTTCATCGGAAGGGTGTGGGTGTGGTTCTGTCATTGAAGATAAAGATAAAATAGACACCCACATCCACACCCATAAGATGCACCTTGAAAAGCTCTACAATTTACGGAAGACAGGTTTTCCTACAGTTGCACGTTTTGCTTACAAAATCGACAATACTTGAAGCAACCAAATTTTGACACTGCGAAAAGATCAGTTTTTCTTTCTACACGAGCAATTCCTTGTTTCTTATTTCACCGTTTCATCACCAATACATTTTATTAGAGAAAAAGAAAATATGCCGCAAATGCAGTGTGAAAAGCTCTATAATTTACAAAGAACAATTTATTTTATATACGCACGTTTTGTTTTTAAAATAAGCAAAATACTGTGCGACCAATTAATTATCGTTTTCGCACAATCGGAATTTGATCACTCCAAATTTTGTCGATTTTGAAAGCAAAAAGTGCAACTGCAGGAAAACCTATCTTATTTAAATTGTAGAGCTTTTCACGCTGCATCTTTTGCTATAATTTGTTTTCTTACTACAACGTATTAAGAGACTGAAAACTGACATACAAAAATTGTCCATTATATCTGCCTCACCCGTTATATTTAAATTAATGCTAACAAGTTTGCAATAATTAATCTTAATGTCAATAATAGCAAAAGTATTAGGATTAATTTCAATACTACACAAGGAAACTTCAAAACTATCATCTTTAACTGAAATCTAAAGAAATATGTAAAAAGACATTATACAATCAGAATTTTTTATTACATGCTATTTAGATCCAATCAGAGACCGAAAACGAACGGAACCGAACTCGAACCGGACAATCTTGGCTTGGTCTGGATCGGTAGCAGTTCTCAGTTTTTAAAAGTTGCGTTACATATTCAAAAAAGTACTTTCACATCTCTCAAACGGGTCACTAGTTAAAGGGTAGTTAAAATAAGCAATTATCTGCCATTAGAATACTAATATACAGCTTTTATTAACTATTTTTGCCGACCCGATCCGAACTCTAGTGGTTCGGTTCGGTTCGCATCGATCCGAATCGAACTCGAGCCGATATTTTGAAAAACGAATCGAACCGAACCGAGCCCGAACCGATTTTTAAAAACTCAATCGAACCGAACCGAACTCGAACCAGAAAAGTTCGGTTCGTTTCGGTCTCTGATAGGCACATGAAATACAGCGAGAACTAGGATAATACGATGATAGTTTTACGGATGAAGACGCCGAGGTATTGTTTCCGATTAGTATCACAAACTTATCCTATACGTACGATTATCATCATAAGAATAACAAAAGAAATAAAAATAAAAGAACACATATCTCTATAAAACAAAAAGAAAAACTACCTCAATAGTGTATGTCATAACAAGATTCCAAAGAAGGTCAATTCTCTATGAACACATTAACAAATAATTTTTATTTTTATAAAATTTTTAGTCTATTGATTTAAATTGATTTTTTTGTACTAATTTTAATTTTATTTTGATTTCTATCTTAATGTAATTTTTAATTAATTTTTATCTTATATTGTTTTCTTTTACTGAGTTATTTTAAAAGTTTTTTTAGCAAATAAATTTCTACATACAGGAAAGAATCTTAATTTTTAAAAAATAATAGGCATTTTTTCATCACTTAGAATTCGCACTACTTTGACCGGTACGAAATAAGCACTACAGAGATTGAGTCGAAATTTTTTTATAATCGTATCACTCATCGATTATTAGCGAAGAAAAATGTCTAAGCTCTCCAAATTTCTACAGAACCAAGAAAGATGACTGAGAATGTTTTATCCAAACTCCAAAATTAGGTCACTCCGAGACAGCTAGACAAGAGTTGCAACTATTTAAAGATCCTGCATTGTAAAAGAACATAAGCAAAAGCGAATACCTCTATTATCAAAAAACAAAAAGAGCATTGCAAAGTCAATCAATACCTGCTTTTGTCATTATACTGCTACACTACCGACATTTTTAGCAAAAGCAGTCGCCCTGCCGTTAGGAATCATCTTTTTTTTTAGACAGAAGTATATAAATAGTTTTTTTCAAAACAAGTGAGACATGATAGATATCGGAATATTTGTAACTCAAAGCTCTTATCAATGATCCTCCTTGATTGTTGAAACTTTATTAATTAATAATTCTCTTGGTTAAATTTCAATGATTATTTATTTATTAAGTCTTGAACATTCACTTTTGATAAAAACGAAATATCGTTACTTTTGTTTCATTTTAGATTCGACACGTTGCATACTTCGTTCAACATTTATAAGTTTTCGATTGTTGGGTCCAAGTCTGAGACGATAACATTCAACCGTTTTTTTATAATAAATTAGTGCTTTGTGCAACTCCTGTTTCTGTTCATACACGAAGGCCATACTCTCCCATGTTGACCCAATTGATGGATGCTGGTATGAAAGAGACTTTTCTTTAATGGCAAGCGATTGTTCGAAATATTGCAGCGCTTCTTGCCAGCGACTATTGCATAGGCAGATAAGGCCCAGATTGTTCAACGATGCAGCCACGTCTGGGTGATCAGAAGGACGGAATTTTTTACGAATCATCAACGCCTTATTATGGCATTGAAATGCTTCAGCGTATCGTTTCTCTTGGTTGTAGACATTACCTATGTTACTGAGAGACGTGGCAATAGCCAAGTGTTCTTCACCAAACGCTTGTTTCCAGATCTCCAAAGCTTTAGCATAGGATTCATGTGCTTCTTTAAAAGCGTTTTGCCTTGCATAGACATTCCCAATACTGTTGTAACTTTCGGCCAGATTAGTATCATTCGGTTTGAGCGTTTCACTTTTTCGCTTCAATGCTTTTTGATACCACTTGAGACTTGCTACCAAATCGTCCTTTTCGAATGCGAGATCTCCGAGTTTAGAATACAAAGCAAGCATATCTTTATGATCATGAGGCAGTGTATTGTACAAATGAATAAGATGTCTCTCGGCTTCGTCGAGTTTATTCATTTGTATCAACCGTGTGGCGAACAAGAGACGTTTCAGTTCATGACCCTCGGCAAGATTCTCCTTTTTCATGTGTTCTAACGTGCTTCGCATATTATTTTCATCTTCACCGCACAATCGCATTTTAATCGTCCAAACTTTATCGTCGACACGGCTAACGTCAAGAATGCGATAGATGGATCCGACTGACATGAGCACTTCTCTTTCTTCTGGATGAGCACTCTGTGCAGTGACCTCAGCAAATGGTTTGACGCCCTTAATTCGAGGATCAGCATCAATTTCAAAAAAAATTTGTCGAAGATCATCCGC